ACACACACACTACACACACAGACACACACTATACACACACAGACACACACACTACACACACAGACACACACTATACACACACACACACACACACTGCATGCTTACTCACCGCGTACACATACACACTTCGCACACTGCACAGTACATAGAGGGGCCTCCTGATGACCCTCTAGGGGCCAGAAGAGCCAAGCAGGCCCTTATTAAGTATGAAGGCCTCAAGAAGATTCCCCACGAGGCTGCGGGGCGGGGTGGGACTCAGCCTGAACACAGCTGAAGTCCCACGAGACCTTCTTTTGTCGTCCTCTCCATAGCCAACCAAGTTCATGGTGGGCACGGAGCAGGGCATCGTCATCTCCTGCAACCGCAAGGCCAAGACGCCAGCCGAGAAGATCCTCTGCACGTTCTCAGGCCACCATGGCCCCATCTATGCCCTCCAGAGAAACCCCTTCTACCCGAAAAACTTTCTGACTGTTGGTGACTGGACAGCCCGAATCTGGTCTGAGGACAGTCGGGAGTCATCTATCATGTGGACCAGGTAAGGGAGAGGACTGCCAAGGGGACATGGGAGTGCGGGGTGGCACTTTAGAGACTCAGTTTGGCAAACACGAACACAGAACTCTAAACAAGGCGTGATGGCTCATTCCTGTAATCCCAGCACTCTGGAGGCTGAGGCAGGAGGATGGCAAGCTTGAAGCAGTCTGACCTAGGCACCCTGTGCACGATCTAACAGATGTATAGCTTGTTCTTCATGTGGGTCCCCCAACAATTAGATTGGGGTTGGGGTGGGGAGCTGTCTCTGACTCTGTTGCCTGGCTTTGGATCGCTTCCCCCTATTGCCTGCCTTCGGATCCCTTTCCCCTAGCTGAGTCGCCTTGTCTGGCCTCAGTGGGGGAGGATGCGCCTAGCCCTGCTGCAACTTGATGTGCCAGGGTAGGTTGGTACCCATGGGGTGTCTCCTCTTCTCTGAGGGTTAGGGGATGGGGGAAAAAGGGAGGGTGGAAGGTTGGAACTAGGAAGAGAGGAGGGAGGGGACTGCTATCAGGATATAAAACGAATAAGAAATTTAAAGAAAAAAGAAACCCACTAATGTCTGTACATACACCACATTCCCAGAGAAATTTAAATCCAATTAAAAATGATTTTTTTCTCCTGTAGTTTTAAGGGATGGTCGCTAATAATAGAGCTAATGATGACTTTGAACTTCATTTTGTTCTGTCATAACTCGTAAGGACTGGGCTAGTTAACAATGTAAATTCTTATTTTATTTTGAGAGAGGCACAGGGTCTTGCCATATAGAGTTAATTGTCCTGGAGCTCTCTATGTAGAGCAGGCTGACCAAAAAACCAAAACAAACAAACAAAAAAAACCATCCAATTTTCTTTTTGTCTGGATCATTTCTTCTACTTTGGCCCAACTGTTCACGAGCTTAGCAGCAAAGGAGGCCTGAAATTTTAGTCTAGGCTCAGCTGTACCCTATGGAAAAGGGAGAATGTGTTTGGAAGAAAACTGAGAGAGAGAATATTTTCGAAGTATTCCACCCACTTTGAGGGATGAATCTTTGTTTGGACTAGTAAGATGCCTCAGTGGGTGGAGGCACGGGCAGCCAAGCCAGACCACCTGTGTTTGACCCCAGAACCCTCTTGGTCAGTGGCTCTCAACCTGTGGATCATGACCCCTTTGGAGGTTGAACGACTCTTCCAAAAGGGTTGCCTGAGACCATTGAAAATATCAGATATTTGCGTTACGATTCACAACAGTAACAAAAATACGGTTCTGAAGTAGCAATGATTTTACGGTTGGGTGGGGGGGTCACCATAACATGAGGAACTGTATTGAAGGGTCACAGCGTTAGGAAGGCTGAGAACCACTGCTCTTGGGGGAAGAGGGAACTGACTCCTGAAACTTGTCCTGACCACCACATCAGTTCTGTGGCATGCATGCACTCATTCCCATACACACACAAATGTGTTGTTTTTTTTTTAATTACTAAACAAAATTGTTCACCAAACAAATTTGAAAATCTGGACAACAGCAAGGAAGAAATAGAGCTAACCTCCATCTCAGAATAATGAACTTCTGGCCATGTCTTTCCAGGGACCCCACAGTGGATCCCAGGTCCAGCAGGCCTGACACTGGAGCAAATTCCAGTGCCCAGACACCCCCCCCCCAGACCCCTGTAACACTCAGCCTGAGAGCCACAGATGAGTAAGGCTGGCAGGCTAGAAGTCAGACCCAAGAGAAAAACTTCCTACCCAGAAACACTGAGAGACGCTGGACCCCAGGAGGGCCTCAGTGGGAAGAGGTGTGAGCCTCAAGCTCCATCCCTCCCCACCACAGGGTCCCTGACTCACCACACTGGCTCCTACAGGTACCACATGGCTTACCTCTCCGATGGAGCTTGGAGCCCTGTGAGACCAGCGGTTTTCTTCACCACCAAGATGGATGGGACCCTGGACATCTGGGACTTGGTGTTCAAGCAGTGTGACCCTGCCCTCAGTCTGAAGGTTTCCTGTCATAGTCTTCCCACAACCCCTGACACTCCCATACACTCAGGCTCTTGTGACCTGGGGGCCTTCCTGGACAGGCCCAGGGCTCGGTGGGTGGATGGGCATACATGTGTTCACCCATGTGTGTGTTTTGGTGGGGTGTGTCTCTGGGTAATCTGGTTTCTGGCCAGCTGTACTCAGCCCTTGGGAGCATGGGTTTCTGCAGGAACGAGAGACCTGGGGACTTGCATCCATGCAGAGGTAGAAGAATCAATCCAGGGAATGTAAACAGAAAGGGATGGCTGGGGGCACCAGTGAGTGGCAGAGCACTGGCTTAGCCTTCAAGTCTGGCTTCCACGCTGAGCACGGGAGACAAGTCTATCAGTTGGTAAAACTGATAATAAAAAAATGAAACTTGCACGGTAGACAGATGTTGCATAGTGTGCAGGAGGTGCTGGGGTTCTGTCGACACAACTGCAGAAACCAGGTGTGGTGATGTAGCAGCAGGATCGGGAGTTCGAGGTCACCCTTGTCTAAGTAGTGAGTTCAAGACCAACCTGGGCAACGTGAGACCCAGGCTCAAACAACAACAAAACGGGGGAATTTAAGAGAAGTAAACATCCCTCCCCTCCCCAACAGTGTATCTCTCCGATTCCCATACTCAGGTTCTCTGCAGCTTCCCCATCAGCCTGTATTAGTGAACGGTAGCTGAGCCCTCCAAGGCTCAGTACCTCCAGGGAGGTACTGGCCTCCGTGGAGGACCAGGGAACTCAGAGATCGTAAGATGGACTAAACCAACAATGAGGCTGGAGAGCAAGGGTCTTGGCAGTGAACTTCATCCGGGCCATGGAAGGGTGTGTCACTAGAGGTGTTCCTACAGGGACAGATAATAGGGTATGTGTGACTTTGCTATTCATGCCCACCCTGCCTGGTTCTGCTGACTCCTTCAACAGGTGTGCGATGAGGCCCTCTTCTGCCTCCGGGTTCAAGACACCGGCTGTCTCATTGCCTGCGGCTCCCAGCTCGGAACCACCACTCTGCTGGAGGTGTCCGGCAGTCTCTCCACCCTGCAGAGGAATGAGAAGAACATAGCTTCTTCCGTGAGTGCCGGGGCCAGGCCCTCTCCGTGCACCCCTGACCTGCTCTAGAGACCAAGTCAGGAAGAACGGGTTGCCATTATTGGTAAGGGCAGTGTGGTGTGCAGAAGCTGTCAATCTGCCCTTGCTCAGCTGCTTGCATTTGGTAGTGCTGGTGTGGTCACTCAGCATGCCCAGGCTTCGGCCTCTCAGCTGTAAATCACACCGGTTTGATGGAGTGGAAACAGTGGGACTTTGTGACAGCAGAGCCTCGAGTCTGAAGACTTAGCAGGCGCCCAGAGGGGACACATGGAAGTGAGCTCGCTTATGAGAGAGGCACTGAGATCCGCTGCTACCCCTGTCCCTACCCTGGGCACACTCCCCAGCAGCAGGGGACACTGGCATTAATTAATTTAGAAAGAATAATTATTATTCTTAGAAAGAATAATAATTATTCTTTCTAAATTAGTACAGGAAAATTATTATGGCAGCAGATATAAGTATATATGTATTTTACATATATGAACGTTCTGCCTGAATGTACACTGGCATGCCAGAAGAGGGCATCAGATCCCAGTATAGATGGTTGAGAGCTACCATGTGGGTGCTGGTAATCAACCTCAGGACCTCTGGAAGAGCAGGCAGTGCTCTTAATTGCTGAGTCATATCTCCCGTCTCAGCAGCAGTTTTCTTTAGCCTTGCTAGCTTTCAAAATAAGAGACACAGAGAGACTATGATTTACTAAGCTGTAGGTACTATGCTGGGCAGTTTCTGAGCCGTTCTAATCCCACTGTCCTTAAAACCTACATAAAAGATGATCACTTGCCAATCGGCTTCTGCTCCATCAGTCTGTTCTTCCAGGCACATGCTCATCATCCATCTTGCCCCATGGTGCCTCCTCTCTCTACGATTTCCTCTCCTCCTCTGCCTCTCCTGCCATCCTCAAGGTCTTTCAACCCTAAGCCAGAAACCAAAACTCCAGCTACCTCTCTTGTGCCTAGTCAGAGCCTTCCACATCTTTATTAACCAATCAGGGATAGCTGGGGAGCATGCCTTATCGATGTGAGGGTAAGGACTTAGTTCAACATTCATAACAATGCCTGTGGCAGGGCGGTAGCAGATCTCAAGGCACTTAAGTCAGCATCTGAAAACAGTACGTGCTGAGACCCTCCTCCAGCAAGTATGTGCCCACTTCCTTTTGATTTCATAGGAAATAGTTCGATACACAATAAATCTCTCAGCTCTGACATAGATTTTCCTAGACAGGGTTTGCTATTTAGCCAGACTGGCCTCAAATTTGCCATAATCCTCCTGCCTCAGCGTCCTGGGCATGGAGATCATAAGTATGTGCCCCCGTTCCTGGCTTAGCCCTCTTTCCTTGATATGACACTCCAGCAGACCTCACCAGGGACAAATATAAGCCCACATTCTGCTGGGGTTTCTAGCTGTCCCTGACCTTGCCACAAGTTTGTCCCTGTCTGCCCCAGATATTCGAACGTGAGACCCGGCGGGAAAAGCTCCTGGAGGCCAGACATCGTGAGATGCGGCTGAAGGAGAAAGGCAAGGCAGAGGGCAAAGATGATGACCAGAAGGAGGATGAGCTTGCCGTGGACATCAATGAGCTGGTCACCAAAGCCGAGGAGGAGTTTTTCGATATCATCTTCGCAGAGCTGAGGAAGAAGGAGGCAGAGGCCTTGAAGAAGAAGCCTGTAAAGACCTAAGCAGGGGCCCGGGTGGGCTGGGGTCTGGGAGGGAGCCATGAGGCCTGGGTTCTGCCCAACCACCGAACTCCTGGGCAACCTTGAGCCAATAGTTTTCCGGGATGGATTTTACCTCCTGAGGAAATTTGTCTCTCAGGAGACGCGAGGTTCCTTGAGGGCCAGAGCTCCATGCCTCTAGAATGGTAGGCTCATCTTCAGCATTCACGGTGGCCCCCGAATCAGGGCCCTGGGATTCTGAGAGTGAAGGCCTTGAGGCCTGTGGGAGGAAAGGGCTGTGACATTTGCCCTTCTGTGCACTGCTCTGGCTTAGCACAACCAGGTGACAGGAGTGTGGCCTGTGACTGCGCCTCTGCTCCTGGCCCCAGTTCACAAGCATTTTCTACCTGTGTCACCTGGCCTGTCACTTTCCTTCTCAGTTCCTCCATTGCCATCTGGAAAGTGAAGAAAACACTGTAAAGGTGGTGACGCATAACCTTCTGGGGATAGAGGAAAAACAGTGTCTTCTCCCGTGTCTGCACCATTGTTCTTAGGGGTCCAGATAGGAAGGAGACAAAAGTTGGATGTCAGGAAAACAGTGAGGCCAGAATGTGTCAGCACCTGCTCTTCTGAGACAGACTTGTTGTGTCATGGGGACCAAGGCCAAAGTGAAAGTGTGGGGGCACTTGTTTAGAAAGCATTTATGGGGTCGCTGGAGAGATGGCTCAGCAGTTAAGAGTGCTGACTATTCTTCTAGAGGACTCCGGACAACTGTCTGTAACTCAGCTCAAGTTCCAGGGGATCCAGTGCTTTCCTCAGGCCTCTATGGGCACCAGACATGCATGTGGTACTCTGACATGCAACAGAATACGAATATATATTAAAAACCAACAAGCAAATGGGAAGGTTTTAGTGACGCCAGCAAGATGGCTTAATGCGTAAAGGTACTTACCATCAAGTCTGATGGTCTGAGTTTGATTCCTGGGAACCCATGTGGTAGAGGAAGGAGAGAACCAACTTTCAAAAGTTGTCTTCTAACTACCACCTGGTCATGTGTATGGTCACATATGTGACCATATGTGACTACACATACACACACAAACACTACACATACACACATGTTCTCTCTCTCTCTCTCTCTCTCTCTCACACACACACACACACACACACACACACACACACACACACTAAATAAATGAATAACTAAGAACCATTTAGAAAAAAAAGAAAAAAGAAAAAAAAACCAACAAAGACCTATTTGAGGGGCTTGGATGTAGCTTAGTTGGTAAACTACTTCCCTAGCGTTCTTCTTTTTTGTTGTTTGTTTGTGTGTTTGTTTTATTTGAGACAGGGTTTCTCTGTATAGCCTTGGTTGTCTTAGACTCACTTTGTAGACCAGACTGGCCTCAAACTCACAGAGCTCCAACTGCCTCTGCCTCCCAGAGTGCTGGGATTTCAGGCATGTGCCACCATACCTGGCTTCTTGCCTAGCATTCATAAAGCCTGGGTTTCATCTTTAATATCAAACCATAAACCAGGTGGGCTCGTGCACACCTGTAATGCCAGCATCTATGGATCCGGACAGAGGGGGGTGATGTGTACATGAGGCAGGTGTCAAATGCCCTGGAGATGGAGTTAGAGGTGGTTAGGACAGCATCCACCGGAATGCAGAGTCTGTGTAAGAGTGCTTGAACCACCATCTCTCCAGTCTCACCCTGGTTCTGCCTGGTGATTCCTGCTCCATCTCCCTCCTGCCGCTTGAGAACAGGGAGAGATTGGGTGATGCCATTTGAACGTGGAGAGATGTTGGCCGGAGAGCCACTTTTGTGAGGAGGGAGAAGAGCCCCCGTTCGTAGCACAGGCTGGGCTAGAGTTCTGAGTCCGGTTGAGATGCCCAGGTTCTTCCCAGCTGTCACTCCCTGGACCACTTTAATCTTTCAGAAGGCAAAGATTGAAATGCCGAGTGAGAGCGAGAGCGAGAGGCTGGCAGGCTTGCACTTGGCGCTCTACGTCTCGAAATGCTTTCCTTGCAGAGTTTAAACGTCCTGGATGAAGCTGAGCTGCAGGAAGTGTTGAGGCTCACAGGCTCAGCCCTTCTTCTGCCTGCCCCATACCTCCTCCTCTCTTAGTCTTTGCAGTTAGCCTGAGATTCTGGGGCTTAAAGCGCATTGCTCCAGGAAGAGTAAGCCATGCCTGTAACCTGAGCACTGCAGAGAGCCCAGGCAGAAAAATGTAGAATCTGAGGCCAGCCACTGTTGCATTGCAAGAGCCAGTCTCTTAAGAATGAAAGGAAGGGAAGTGGGGAGGAAGAAAAGAAGGAAGGAAAGAAGGAAGGAAGGAAGGAAGGAAGGAAGGAAGGAAGGAAGGAAGGAAGGAAGGCCGCCCCATGATGGAGGCTGTCCTCTATATGCTGTCTCCCTTCACCCTTTATCTCTAAACCCAGCCCTCAAGGTGCCATGCCTACGACACAGGTGAGGGTGACAAGGTGCCTCAGATATGGCAGGCTTAAGTCATCTACTCTGCAAATGGCAGAGCCTGGCAATTAGATCCCCAAGGTCTTGCCTACCTTCCCCGTCCCATGGCTCTGAGAACCTGCTGGGCCAGCTCAGAGTGGGCACTATGGGCTCCCAGGGACTTCCTCTCTGGGCTCCTCACAGCTCCCTGCCCTTGGCCTTGGGGTTTTACCTCTGGGAAATAGGGAGGGCCTGCGCCTCACCAGCATTTCTGTTTTTGCTTTAAAAGAGGTCAAGTACAAATCTGGATTACGGAGAGGAACTGATGGAACAAAATATCGGAGAGGAGGAAGAAGTGGGTGATGAAACCTATGATGATGTGAGTGGGGAGAGAGAAGAAGGCGTGTCCAACTAGGGCAGCCTCCACCCACAGCACTGACTCTTTGTGTTCCTTGCTGGCCTTCCTTTTAATACGTCTTGTCTGAGAAGTGAAAGCTGAGTTTCTTTGTTCAATAATTATTGGTGAGGACAGATGGGGGGACGAAGTCACTGGCCACACTGGGGCCCTTTCTAAGGTTGGCAGGGGTGGGCTTGTCTGTGCTAGCTCCCTGGCCTCAGCCACCCTGAGTCTACCTCGACTCAGGGCACATGACTCAGCCAGCCTCTTCCTAGATTCTGCTTATCAGGAGCTCTCCAATTAATAGTTACCAATGCCTTTCTCCAGAGGCTTTTAGAGCTCGGCTGAGCTTGCCTGCACTGCACGGGGGAGGGGGAGGGGGGAAGCACTGACAGAGGGGTTTCTTTCTCCCTCTCACCTACTTGTAAATCAGAATAGAGCTTTTGTCTTGTTCTGCAATACCTCTCCAAGCCATCCCCCAGGGGGCATCTTGACATGCAGTCACATGGACCCCCCCAAGTGTAAAGAATAGGCAGGTGGGATGAACCTGGCTCTCATTGTACGTGCATGCTTTTTACGGCTATTCTTCTTATAACATTAAATCAGTGCTTCTCGTTGATCTCATATAATTTTTCCAAAGTCCCTGGAAGGTTTGTGTTTGAGCGACCCCCCCCTTTTTTAAATGAAGAGAAAATAGAGGGTCTAGGAGAGTTATTTGGTCACAACTGGTGAGGAGTGGGAGCCGGGACAGGCGCCCCAGGCAGCTGGCTGTGGGCCAGGTACTATGCAGAACAGCAGGCCCTTTTCAGGTAGCCATGGGCTGGGCCCCGAAGCCATGGCTCCTCCATACAGTAGTAGGTAAGGTAGAGAGTACCTCAGAGACAATGATGTACGCATACAAGCCCCAGAGTGTCATGGATTCTGTGGCTGTCAACAGAGATTCAAAGTGCCCACATTAAGAATATCATTGGCCAGGCATTGGGGCATGCACCTCTAATCTCAGCACTCAGGAGGCAGAGGTGGGATGGATCTCTGTGAGTCTGAGGCCAGCCTGGTCTACAAAGTGAGCTCCAGGACAGCCAGGGCTATTACACAGGGAAATCCAAAGCAAACAAGCAAACAAAAAAGAACATTGTTGAGGAGCCCTGGAGTTAGCTAGCTGGCTTGGTCAGTTCTACCTATGCACAGGAAGAAGACCTGAATTTGATCCCCTGGAGCCCATGAACAAAAGCCAGGCATGGTATCAGTTGTAATCTCAACACTGGGAAGATGGAGACAGGCAGATCCCCGAGGCTAGCCAGCCTAGATGAATCAGTGAGCTCTGCACTTAGCAAGAGGCCCTGGTTCAGAATAAAATGGATGTCATCCCAAGGAATGACACTCAAAGTTGACCTCTGAGCTCCATGTACTAGCATTTGGATATTTTGTGGAGGGAAGACATGGGCTGTTCCTTTTGTCCAGAAAAGCGAGGGGACATTGAGTTGCTTGTTGCATTTGGCTAGATTTTGATGTCCATAGTCACTGATGATGTTTATTGACGGTTAAAACTTCACAGGAATCCAGAAAGGGGCTTGCCATCTTCCATTTGCAAGTCACCATTGTGGCAGGTGATAGAGAGCAGAAGGAGCTGTTGGGTCTTGTAAGAGCAGAGGATGGAGCTGAGAGTTCAGCTCAGGGTGGTTCATGATCCTTGAGCATATGCCACACTGTATTCTGAACTCCTCAAGAGTGGACTCAGTTGGGGCCCTATTCGCTGCCTGCTGCTGCATCCAGGTGGGAGGAAGCTGTCCTCACTGTAAAAGGACGGAAGGAGACACAGAGACCCACGCTACCCTACGGGACACTTAAAGGTGTGAGTCTCTGAGGGATTGATTCTGCCCCAATGGGACATTTTGAATTAACACACCTGGCAAATGTGTTATTCCTGACACTTGAAGCAGAAAGGCTTGGGTGCTATGCTGCTCAGCATTCTAAGGTTCCCAGGATTCTAGGCCCCCACGACAAAGAATGGTCTTGTCCAAAACATCAGTAGAAAGCCGTTGCCTGCCTCGAAAGCACAATGCTCTGGTTTTGATCTGCAGCACTGCAGAAACTGGGGTGTGGGCAGCACATGGGCAATCTCAGCCCTCAGAAGAGGCAGGAGAATCAGACGTTCACAGTCGTCCTCAGCTACCTCTAAAGTTCAAGGCTACCCCATTCTACACGAGTCTCAAACAAGCCAAATGAGGTGGAATCAGAGTGCAGAAACCCAATCTGGAGAGCAAAATCAATCAAATGGAGTGCTCAGGGTGGAAAAAATCTCTGTGAGTGAGGGGCTGCCACTGTGAGTTCAAGGGCAGACAACATTCTCACGCTGTTCTGGAATGCTGGCCTTTGGTGTGTGCTTGCAAAAGGAGGCCACCTGCTGGAGCCTGGAAATCCTTTCCTGAGGGTACAGAGGGTGCCACTGTGATAGGATGGCATTCCAGAAGGGATTGTGGGAAGAAAAAAGGGAGCCTGCAGACAGTGCATAGCAAGGGGCTGGACAGTTCTGTGCTCACGGTGTCCCTGTTGCCAGCCTTATTGCAGTGACCTCTGGCCTCATGCACCGGATACCTATCGCCTATTCCCCTCTGGGATGGTGAGTCTTCACTGTCAGCTTGACTGGGTTTAGAGTCACCTAGGAGACACACCTCAGGATACGTCTATGAGGATGTTTCCAAAGAGGCTTAGCTGAGAGAAAGCCTGCCTTCAGTGTGGGTGGTACCATTGCATGGGCTCAGGTCTCAGAGTGAATGGAAAAAGAAACAGCAAAGCCACCTGAGTGCCTGCATTCGTCTCTCTTCTGCTTCCTGGTCCATCCAAATGTGATCAAGAAGCCTCACACACCTGCTGATGCAGCCACAAACCACCAACGTTGCCACCTGCCTTAATGTACCCTGCCACCACCCTCTTTATTAAAAAAAAAAAAAAATCATTATTTTTATTTTATGGCATGAGTGTCGTCTACAGGTACACATACTCTGTGCATGCCTGGTGCCCACAGAGGTCAAAAGAGGGCCTGGAAATGCTGACACCAGGCTAGGTGTGAAGTGAGAGTCACAGCTTCCTGGAAGGTGGCCAGATTCCTGTGCCCACAACAGTTCTGTGTCCCCATCCTATGCCACTTAACCTGTGATACTGTCACTGCAGCCATCGCACCCTATGGCTACCAGGACAAACAGCCCACCATTTCTCCCATGACGCCACTGGGTGCTGGCACCTCAGAGCAGGATGCTCAGGAAAGGCCCTGTCAACCCTTCCTCTTTAACCAAATAAAGCAGTCCCTGGGCTTGATGGAATGGCCCCAGTGCTGAAGCAGGGGATGGCTGCTAACGACCTCCCAGGGTAAGATCCAAGCTAAGAGTAAGGACCTCAGAGTGCTGGAGTCTCACTCTGAGCTAAGAAGCTGCGCTGAGAGCCAAGGACAACAGGGAGTCACAGGTGGGGCAGTGAGAGGACTTAATTCCAGAGAGCCAGCCAATCCCAATCAAGGTCACATAGCCACAATAGGAATTTCCCTTTCTGGCTTTAAAAGGGACCTTTGAGTTCCCCTTAGGGCCACCACCATTTTGTGAAGGTGGTGACCCCAGCACCCTGGAATTCTCTGCAGAATAAACGCTCTTTGTTTTTGCATACCATCTAAATCTGGGGTCTTTCTTTGGCGAGTCACAGACCCTAACAGCAGGAATGAATCCAAGTCAGGTGCTTACTGCCTGGCTAACAGTGACTTTGCCCAGCTCCGAGCCAGGTCCCAGCGATGGAGTTGGGGGGGGGGGCACCAGATATGGGCGCACCCTCCCAGGACTAGAACTCACACAGTGCTGGGAAAAGACTAATACAACACAGACAGTTGGGCAGAGTAACACTTTGTTTTGCTTTGAGACAGGATTTTCATGTAGCCTAGGCTGGCCTTGACCTCACTATGTGGTTGAGGATGACCTTGAACTCTTAATCCTGAGTGATGGAATTACAGGAGTGATGGAATTGTATTCTCCCCCTCGCCGTGCTCGTTTGTGCATCGCTGTGGGTGGAGGCCATGGCTTTATTCATGCTAGGCAAGCACTCTACCAACTCAGCCACACCCCCAGCCTCTGGGGTGACATTTTAATAATACAGGTCATTATGAAGGGGCTAACAGGAGGGTGTGTCCTAGATTCTCAGGAGTATAGGAGAAGCTCCATGAGAAACTGACAAGCTGAGACTGCGAGACAGAGCGTGGGGCAACCAAGGGGCGTATAGCATGTTTCTGAACACAGTTGCACACATGTGCCTCTCCACCTGTGTACCCCTGTATACGTCAGCAATGGTGACTTCTCCATTAGCCAAGGCAGTCCTTGTAAGTAAGGGGGTAAAGAGTTCAATGGACCCAGAAAGCCTGAGCTCAAGTAGGCTTCGATACCTGCGGCTTTCCAACATTCCCCAGTCTGAGGATTCTCATAAAGAACAGGAGAAGGTGTTGCCATGAGCTTCAGCCACAGTAACTAGAGGGGAAGAACTGGGGGTAGTGAGTTAGCATGGACACCTTCCTCTGAATCTGAATATTTCCAGAAAGGTTTAACAGAGCAGGGAAGAACCACCACAAGTGTGGACATCTCCAAGGGCCGGAGCTCAGGATCAAAGAGGGAGACCGTGAGCTAAGCAGCTAATATCCTCCCTCCCTCTGGCCCTCATCATCAGAACCTCCTCCTCCTCCTCCTCCTCCTCCTCC